TCCAGACCGATTCTGGGGTAGCGGCCGGGGTCTGAAGCTGACCACTCGCCTCCAAAGAGTACCGAGGTCAATAATACATGCAGATACGTACATAGCGTAGTGTTTAATTAGTTGAGCACGGGAACAAGTTTACCTTTTACCTTTTAGTCGCATATCTGCTAAGTAGGTTCCGTCCCAGCCTTTTGCGCGGTAGAAGTGTTCATATGAAGTTCACAAGAACCGGTCACGACCTTTTTCTGAGCAGTTAAATTCTGTTCATACACCCACAATTCTACTTCATCGAGATCCACCTCAATATTATCCATGCATTCATACCTAAGTAATTTCTAAGTCATATTTTCGCTTCAGATTTCCAGACTAAAATTTTGTAGGCACTTTCACTCCTGTCCATTTTTTCTGCATACACCGGCTGCCACGTCCTCCCGATCTGATTACCGTAATACAGTTTAGCGAGGCGTACATTATGCAGTTGCCTCCCTCACAAATATTCTCCCAAGAATCCTGATGGCTGCCATTCCTGCCGGGATTCGAACCAAGTACTTATCCAATACAAGTCTAATAAATTATTGCTGTGCCAACCGATTCGCTCCATTTTGTATGACAGTTACCATACGTAATTTTGAATGATTTGGACTGAGTGAAATATACACTGCGCTGTTTACAACCGTACAAAACAGCAGATAATATTATACTTTTGCGGAGTAAAAGTGACCATTGAGTTGTTTCTAAATACAGTGAGACGTCTTTTGACATATCAACAATTTTTGGATACATCGTTCAATCTTTAACTGTCGGCTTTTGTAATAGGAGATTGTAATTTGCAGTAATTTTGAGGAAGGTAGATTCTAAATATTTCTAACGATTGCATATAATTCTGAGTTCTTGTAAGGTAAAATCATTTGTTTCAAGCCAGAAAATGTGCACGAACTGTGACATCTACAGTATCACTTCTACTTGCTTGTTCGACTCCCCGTCGCTGTTATGAATACGAAGGCTCCAGATGTGCAGAATTTGTTAATGGCTGGTAAAATACCAGGGCTTATCACCACGGCATGGCGCGTCATCAGGTCGCGGATGGAGGGCAGCTGCGAACATACTGAATACCCAGCAGCGGGGAGCCGACAAGGGATGGTCCTCCATCTTGGGGGGTTGGGCGTGGGACTAACAAGTCCTCACTGTAAAAAGTAAGCGAAATATCACAAAGGGCCTCGGACCTGGACGGATTCTTTGGATAAAGGACCTAAGAATGACCGAGTCAAGGAGGTTGAGATGAAGAGAAGAGGAATGCATATAGGTTATTGGTGATAAAGCCAGAAGGAAAGAGACCACTAGGAAGACCAGAACATATGTGTGTGTATAATATTAAAATGGATCTTAGAGATATAGGTAAGTGTGATAGGGACTGAATTGGTGTTTAATGTGGAATGAAGGCAAGATGTGTTCACAATGCGCTGTGCACTTCGGGGTGTGCAGGTAGTCATATTATGAGAGTTTGTGTTCGCTCGAGACAGTGCTAAGCTCGACAGCATCACGTTACACTCTTTCCACTGCAGTGTAAACATAGAGTGCGCTTGTTGAGAGGCAGACATGGGGACAGAAAGAACTATATCAGCGTTTCATTGGAAACATGTTCTCCCCACCTTCAGGACAGAAGGATCAGCTTGACTTTCCGGATTCGAAGATTTTAGCTTGAGTACTTTGAGTCTAAAACAAGGAGATGCTTTATCGCCACTGCTTTTCAACTTTGCTTTAGAATATGCCATTAGGAAGATCCAGGGAAACCATAAAGAGAAACAGACAAACTTTAATTGACACAAGTAAGGAGGTTTGTCTAGAAGTAAGCACAGAGAAAACTAAGTATTTGTTGCTGTCTCGTCACCAAAATGCAGGGCAAAATCATGATATGAAGATAGGAAACAGATGTTTTGAAAATGTGGCACAGTTCAGATATTTGGGAACAACGATAACAGATCGAAACGTGATTCAGGAGGAAATTAAGAGGCGACTGAAGTCGGGTAATGCTTGCTACCATTCAGTCCAGAAACTTTTGTCTTCTCGTCTGCTGTCTAAAAACATAAAAATAAGAATATACAAAACTATAATTTTGCCTGTGGTTCTGTATGGGTGTGAAACTTGGTCTCTGACATTAAGGGAGGAACATAGACTGAGGGTGTTTGAGAACAGGGTGTTGAGAGCATTTCGACCGAAGAGAGATGAAGTGACAGGAGGCTGGAGAAAACTGCATAATGAGGAGCTTCATAACTTGTACTCTTCTCCAAGTATAATTAGAACGCTCGAGTCAAGGATGATGAGGTGGGAAGGGCATGTAGCACGAATGGGGGAGAAGAGAAAGGCATATAGGATATTGGTGGGAAAGCCAGAAGGAAAGAGACCACTGGGAAGACCAAGGCATATGTGGGTGGACAATTTTAAAATGGATCTTAGGGACATAGGATGGGATGGTATGGATTGGATTGATCTGGCTCATGATAGGGACCATTGGAAGGCTATTGTGAACATGGTAATGAACTCTGGGGTTCCATAAAATGCTGGGAAATTCTTGAGTAGCTGCAGAATTGGCGGCTTCTTCAGAAGGGCTCAGCTCCATGAGTAGGAATGAATGTATGAAGGGTGGGCCTTCTGGGCCCTTGCACCGCGACCACAGTGGTCTATTGTGCTTAGCTCCATGAGTAAGTAAGTACTTTGAGTGGACTTGTTTGCACGCAGAAGAAACTGTGTGAGGTTTGAGGCGCTTAAGGCAGGAATTGTGAAGGTTTTTATTTCCTGGGATGTGATGCCATTTAGTGTAGTAGAAGTTCAGGGATGTTTAGGAAGAACTTGCTGTCTCCGTCTTCAGAGTAAAAAAGTGAATTATCTTTCTCGGTTCGAAGGTTTTCGAATCTGCGAACATTGAGAAATATATACTCCTCACAGAGGACAGCTACACGTATGTGAGAATTTTATTTCTCACTTCTGTCTGCTGTGATAGTCGGGCAGACGTTTACCAGCGTTTCGGCAGAATATGCTGCCTCCATTTTCAGATTATTCTACCCTACATTGTTGCTTCATATCCCACTGCCGCGAGAACGTCAGTCCTTACAAATGCGAGAAAGGAAGACGAAGGACCATAGAAAGTGAGGGCAGATAACAAAGTAAGTCCTGATGGTTATATAACGCATTTACCGAGAATGGATGTGAGTTTCAGGTATCCAAAGGATACCAGCATCCAGGATGCTGAGATATAATATAATATCCAAAGGAAGTTTTAGGCTGTGGATCGATGCTCTGGACAAAACGTGTCGGTGTGACTGGTCTCTCCTGCTTCTGTTCCAAAAGTCCATAGTTCGTATGTCTTCAGCTTCGCAGATTTATTGATTGCTGGGTTATTTGGCGACTCCTTTTTATTTTTATAAGTTAAAGTGTCGGTTGAGATGGGAGTATGATTGTGGATGGGACGCTTCTAAAAGGAAATGGTGCTCTATATTTAAATACTTTTTTCAGGAGGGACTGCGAAAACTAGAGAGAACAATGCATCACAATATCCGGTGGCCTTGCCGCCTGCATACAACTGCAGGGCGTTACGCTGTGTCACTAAGCAAGGCGATTACCTCCCTCTGCTCCTCAAAGACCACGTCTCGATAACTTCAAGAACTTGTACCTATGCATCTAACCGTGATTATCTGAAATCATCTGAAATCTATGATAACAGTTGGAAAGGCATGTTGAAAATTCAACGGGAAATAATTAATTTCTTGTATAAACTTTTCGTACTTCCTGCTTTCCTCTCCTCTCCGCAACATTCCTTTCCTACAGACCTGAGTGCTGTATCGATAACGGTTTGGGCTTGTATTCGGGTGATCCTATTCCACCTCTGTGGTCTAGTGGTCACAGTTCCTGGCTACAGATCCAGACATCCCGGGTTCGATTCCCGGCGCTACCAGATTTTCTGAGAAGTAGTGGGTTTGGAACGGGGTCCACTCAGCCACCTGAGGTTAATTGAGAAGCTACCTGAATGGAAAAGTAGAGGCTCCGGTCTAGAAAACCGAAATTAATGGCCGTGGGGATCCGTTGCGCTGACCACGTGACACCCTCTATCCGCTAAATTTGACACTAACTTCGCCGACAAGCGGCCGTCGCTCGGTCGGTATAGTTCACTTGCGTACTAAATGTTGTATCCCGCACCTGGACTCGATATCGTATCCCAGTAGCAAGACAGGTTGGCTAGGGCGAGCGGTTCCCTCGGGAGTCAATACGGGGTAGCTTCAAGTAACAGCAGAGGTAGAGCTAGGTGGTTTAGTGTACAACTATTAAAATGCAATGCTTACAGGAAAATGTACAGTTAAGACAACAGTTTTACACACTGCCTACGCCTGGGCAGCCACCGACTTCCTCTATCAGACAATCCGTCCTCACGGATCGTAGACTGTGGTGATCGAAACAGTGTCTTGTAACGCCCAAGGGAGGGTATATATTCCTTCCTCCTTAAGTCTCTAATAACGTCATACATTGCATCAGCCTAAAACTTCCAGAACATTCTCCTGCTTACAGTACGTGCGTCCCTCCTGGACTTTGATTGAACTTGACAAAATTTATGGGGCAGGAGAGTGTACGATTGTCACTGTCTTCTAGCTGAAAATAAGTACGTTTTGGTATGATAATACGGGTGAGAAGTCGATTTACAATCTTTTAATATTCCGTCATATTATGGTCTCTTTCTCATTGCATGTACTTAAAGTAGTTATTTTAATTGTGCACCGTCCTTCATTTTTAAGCATCTCACCTTGCAATATTCCCTATTGTGTCAGTTACCTTATACAACAGCTCACTACGTACTAGGTGTTCCCTATATACATATTAATATACCCCAGTTTATACCAGGTATTCCCATATACAACTCTGGCATAATACATATACAGCATAAAACCACGGAATTTTTTGTTTTTCGGGTGATCCGGACATGATACCGGCTATTCTGACTGAGATTTCCGTATTTTTTTCAGTCCTACCAAGCAAGTGCCAGGATAGCTCATCGAATAACACACGACCACGCCCTTTCAAGTCCTTTCCAGTTCATCAAACGTACAGTTTGACACTGGATACCGACAGCATCGTAAACCACAACAGAACCAATCAATTGTCTTACTGAATGACGCATCGAGGCCGGTGATTAAGGCCATCTATCAGAACAAACTATGTGCCTACCGCTCTTGAATGGCACGCAGTGTTACCTGATTGTGAGGTCAGTAATTCACAGAGATTATCACCAAATATGAGATAATTAAAAGCGCGAGCACTTAAAAAATATAGAAATTAAGTTGGCCACAAATATTCGGTCAATACAAGCTATAACCGTCCTGCCCTTACTTTGGTGCCATCTCCTCTTTTACCTTCCTTTTGGCCCCTTGGTTGCCGGTTGCAGCTGCTCCTCTAGCTGTTCCCTCTCACCTGTTGTTACTCTGAGTTTGCAGGTGGCTGCTGTGTCCTTCTTATCCAGTTCTGCTTCCCTTTTTGTTGTTGTGGATAATTGTTTGTGGGATATGGGTTACCTGGATGCTGGGCGCCAGTAAGCTTACTGTAAAGGCTTACTTCTCAGGAAAAGGGATGAAGCGGAAAGTGTCAGTCGGAAACATAAGAGTGTTTGTAGCTAGGCACTGCCACACACTGTTTAGTGAGCACTTTTTGAAATACAGGTAACAGCACTTGTCCTTAACCCCGTAAACAAACTTGAAAACACTCGAACTTTTGCGACCAGATCCCTGGCTACTTATTTAGCGACTGCTTTTTAGTACAACACGTAGAAGTGATTACACTTTCACTTGAAGTTTTAAGCCAAATTAAGATTCACACTAATTTTTGCGTCTAATTGATTTTGCAATTATTCAGAAATTGTTCCCGTAACACACTTAAACATAATTCTGTTTTAACTTTGACTTTCGAACCAAGCTGCCAGTGATGCTAATTTTTCGGCTGTACATTTGGAGAGTTGGTCAGAGACTGCTTTTGCAGACTGACTCTGTATTGAAGCAAGAAATCTTCCCAGCTTCAACTCCGCCTCCAAGTTACTATCCTAATTACGGCTGATTGGAACAATTCGAATTTAGGGAGTTAACCATAATTCTCACTGCTCCAATCACCTAGCTTTAGTTTGGGACTTTGGACCTTAAAGTCCTAACGTCGTTTTTGACAGCTGCTTGAAAAATTATACCAGTAGCGTGGGTTGCTGGCCTTCCCACCTTTGACTTACGGGGTTCAAAACCTGTCAAGTGTAACTTTACCAAAGGATCCCGCCGGTCAACTCTCGAACTGAATTTCCAGGAAAACTCTGCGGGGTGCTTCCGCCCTGGTCTTTGTAGCAGTGAAGCAGGCCCTATTCTTGAAATCAAGAAACGGGCTAAGTCACCCTTGGATGTTCCTTACTACATCCTATGCGTAATTACTCAAAAAAAGAAATCGTAATTACAAATAAAGCTGGTGGTGTCAGTGGTCCGGCTACAGTGCAGACTGAGAGACTCTCATCAAGTTTCATATGTACTTCAAAGGCACCCAATTTGAGCCCCACGAGTAACACGTCACGCGTTTATCCTATACTCAACTTTTTACTGGCTCCATCATAACTGTTTCTGCTATAAACGCACCCCTTGGTTTCAAACTACTTGTACTTACTTGACTTTCGTTGACTGGATTTTTCTGGTAACGTTTACAAACCTCTCGCTGCATATTTGGAACAGAATTAATCTTCGTGTACAAATTCATCCAGAACGATTTCTCCTGTGTAGACGCCATTTTCACAATATGTGCGCCTCTAGCGGGCGGAAATGAAAATACGTTTCCGGCTGATGTCGCTGTGAAGTGAGTGAGTATTGTATTATCAATATCTGAAAGTGTTTGCTTATTTTCAATTGCTCTGTATTACTGGCATGAGCAGAATGAGCTAGCCGGTTCATGCACTACACACGCAGAAAATGAGAAATGCATAGATATCTAGTCTGAAGACCTACAAGGAAGGAGTCAAATAGGAGACCTTGCGGTAGGTGGGACAATAATAACTTTATTAGGATGGACCCTAAACTAATAGGATTAGGATGTAGATTGAATTCAGATGAATGAGAATAAGTTAAAGTGTCTGGTTGCTGCGAATACATTAATGGATCTTCGGGTTTCATGAAGACAAGAGTTTCTTTTGACGGGCTGGGCGACTGCACTTTTTCAAGATGTCTTTTGGGTTAGTTACGTTATTCTGATCTGGAGATAGGGACTAGCTCTGTCGATTGAGTTCAACTGAATAGGTTTTACATGAAGACGGAGACAGAATCCAGTTTCCGAAACGTTGTGTTTTGAGAAATAAAGAGGACGGTTTTTAGATAAAGACAAGACGATGGATAATGTCCAAAAATATAATATGTGTACATTTTGTATTTATAATTTACTGCAATATTTAATTCGACGCAGCAGATCAGAGTGGCCGCGCCGTCTAAGGCATGAACTGTCTTCGCTCGCTGGAACTCTGGGATAGTGGGTTCGAATCCCACTCATAGAATGGATGTCTGTGTATGCGTTTTTCTCTGTGTTTGTGTTGTCCTGTGTTTAGGTAACGGCCTTGCGACAGGCTGATCACTCGTTCAAAGAGTCCTAACGACTGTAAAATGATTACGAATTGAAGAAGAGCACAGGGCCCAACAAAGAGCTGTAGAGCCATTGATGAATGAATGAGTCTCATTCGATGATACATAATATCAGACCTTGACTGAGTGTCGTTAAATAAATTTGGAAATGAAAAATTCGTCGCTGTACCTCAAAATAACTTACCGTCACTTCATGACATATTTTCCATAGCTCAAAGAACCAATTCTGTTTCTATGCACTCTGACTTCTGCACTTAGTACAACTGCACGTGGCACATGTAAACTTCACAAGACTTTCAGAAGTTCCGACGAAATAGGACAGACGTGAAAACAGTGCCGCTATTGCACGCCAGTGCAAATGACTAAAATCTTCTATACTTCTCGATCGATAGCGTCAAACATATAATTAAGTATCTCAATACGTCAGCTAATTACTAATAATGTATGGGGCGCATATGGAAGCTGTCACACGTCTTCTCCCTAACGACTTCACTTTCGTGTCTGGCATGGCCTACTGACCGATTGGGTTTCCCTTACTAATCAGGGGACTTCGCTGGAACTGTAATTTAGCTCCTTGGTGCGTAATTTTCCTTTTAAAAAGTCCACAAATTGTCCCTGTTTTTATGCAACCCGAAGGTTTATCATCACCCTGGTCACGCGGTATCTTCATTGAGCCCTATTCTAAACTCCACGCTCCCGGTCCTCGTCTTCAGACCCACTTTCTCTTCTCACGTGACACATTCGTTCTAATTCTCCGACCGTAAATTTGTACGTAGTTTAATATTCCACATGCGTGCTAAGTATCATGCTCATCTCATCCTCACTGATCTAATTATCCGAATAATTTTTATAGGAAATTTAAGTAGAAAGTAGGTGTGAAAATATATTCAGGCCAGTAATTAGTAACAGGAGTTTAAGTGGAATTATTAATGATAGAGTTTTAGCATATTCCCCAGCGTTTTTCTTCAAACATCCCCTCCAGAGCAAGAATTCCATATGAATCTATTTCACAGTTTTTTCCCCCAAGTAATTCACACAAATGTACTGATAATTTTCCTTGTCGGACTCTACGACGTGAATCTGTTCACATGTTTTACTTAAAAACGACTGGACTCGAATAAATTCCCCGTTTTCCTAACAAAGAATTCTGAGCAAATATATTTTCAGCTTTCCCTTGAAAGTAATCTAAGTGAATGTATTTAGATATCCTTACAAATTACTCTAAGGAAACGTATTTGCAGTTTTCCTACGCAAATATTATAAGAGAATGTATTAACAATTTACAGGCAACAGTAACACGTAAGTGCAATCCATACAGATTTACTGACACTGATAGCGTTGTCAGCCAAAACAAATGACGCTACTGGCAGGGGGCAGTCTCCCTTGTGCTGACTGTGGGCGATATGCTCCTGTTTCCTGCGTCTTACATCATCTCCTGCACAGTCACGTTGCATTCGCTCGCTTACTGCTACATACAGCTCCATAGCTGACCCAGATATGTTAGCTTATTTGTCTAAAGAGATATGCATGTGGCTGCAGTTGAGAGGGACACGAACCGCACTTTCCACAGCCGTAACACAACAAATGGGCAACCTCTCGCTACACTGACACTTTCGATTAACGTTTAAGTTATATAAACACCCTCTTTTCACTGCATATTTCAAGGGAAGAGAGTCAGGAATTGTGAAGGAGACGGGCACGGACATTTTGGAGTTACTGCGTCGGCATTCGGATCAGAAGACTGAGGAAAATCACGAAATTCTACAGTCCAGATATCCTATTTACTATATGAAGCATATTATATACAGAATCAATTTGGAAATATCTTATGCCCCTCAATACCGTTTGGTTTGATTATAACATTCGATTATTCATTTCTCGAAGTCTTTGTCACTCAATGGACGGATGTGAGCGTTTACTTTTACAAATTCACATATCAGTTTCCAAAGGTTTATCTTCAAGCAGCGACTTGTTCCTGTAAACTAAACTCATGTTTATTTCCAATTAATTATACGTCGGTCACCGTGACCGCGCATTCTAAGACATGAACTATCTTCGCTCGCTTGGACTCTGGTATCGTGGGTTCGAATCCCACTCAAGGGATGGATGTCTGTTTGCGTTTATTCTGTGTTTGTGTTGTTCTGTGTGTAGATAGCGGCCTTGCGACGGGATGATCCCCCATCCAAGGAGTCATACCGACTGTGTAAAAAAAGCTTACGGAGCTGAGTAAGAGGCCTGGGCATTGAAGGGCTGGAAGAGCCATTGAACAAATATAATTATGCTCTTATGTATGAAATAGTAATTCAGTTCAATTCTTTACTATTTATATGCCGAGTCAACAGCTGCAAGGCCAATTACAGACAGAGCACAGGGCACATAATAATAATAATAATAATAATAATAATAATAATAATAATAATAA